CCAGAAAACCGGAAGTGGCGCTGTAGCTCAAGTGGTAGAGTGATCGCCTTGAGCTGAAGAGCTGAGGGACAGCGCCCAGGCCCAGAGCTCAAGCCCCACTACCAAAAAAAAAAAAAAAAAGTTTTCTCAGATGAGCATGTGAATGAATGGAGGGAGGTAAACAAAAAATAAAATTTAAAAAAAAAGATGAGGTCTGATAGGGGAGCAGCTGGAAAAGAAGTCAAAAAAGGAACAGTAATTTAAAGTTTATTCCAGCTATAATGCAAGTTATTCTGACTTTAAGGTAGCATCACATAGCATACTTCTGAGTCCATTCCCGAGATATTCTGTTGTACTCATCTCTGTCTGTTTTATAGATCCGTGCAATCTCTGGCACTAGGGGTCATCTGGGTTCGGATCACCTGGCAGTGAACAAATGGATAAAAGAACTTTAGAAATAGTTAAAGCAGGAGACCACTGTGCCCTTAGAATATCAAGACAAATGCTGCCATTACTGTTCATATTTGGATGGTAACTTCTTGTTGTAAATGCAACCTTGGGTGGTTTGAAGGGGTAGTCTGTAGGAAAATGAATTGTCACAAGGAATACACCACCTTGATATGGGCTGTTATTAGGTCCCATCATTGTGGCTTGCCAGTGAAACATGTCATCCCCAACTGGACCTGCAGAGCACTGTGCTGGAGGATCACGGGCCAAATCACTAAGTTCTTTATTAATCCCTTTTAACGCCATAGTCTGTGCTTTTCGCTTGGCTCCTCACTCTATCTCGGTGTGTGCTCAAAGGGTCCAGCCAAAACTCTTGATTATCCGGGCCGTTGGGGAAGGACTGTATCTTCAACTCACACCGGTTCTGCCAGACACAGGTGTTTGGTGTCAAGGTGAATCTCACGAGAACCTCGTGGCCAGCTCTTATTTTTTTATTTTGTGTCATTAGTGGAGCTTGATCTGAGAGACTGGACACTGCTGTCCCTTAGTTTTTTCATTCAAGCCGGGCACTCTAGCACTTGAGCCAAAGCTCCACTTTGGGCTTTTTTGATGATTAATTAGAGACAGGAGTCTCATGGACTTTGCTTCCCCAGGCTAGCTTTGAACCGCCATCCTCAGCATTCAGCCTCCTGAATAGCTAGGATTACAGGTAGGAGCTACTGGTGCTGGACCTACAAGTGCTTTTTTTTTCTGTCTCTCTCTGACTCTGATTCTCTCCAGCCCTGATGCTGATGATGGTTACAGGACTTATCAGGAAAGGGAATCTGATTGGCCCATCCTGGGTCACATGTCCACTTACCATCCAATCAGCTGTGACCGGGTGGTAGGACCATACAGTACAATGTGGCCTCAGGGATTCACCCACATGGATGGAGGATGGGTCCACAGCCTTCCCTTCCAATCCCCCACAAAAACGTAGGCTCCACAAACATAAATGAAGTCCTGTACTGTAGTGCCAGGTGGACAGCTGGTGCTGGATTGAAGAGGGCCTAGCCCAATTAATAATAGTGTCTTCTGTGCATCCAGAAACTCATGTATATTTTCATAGTCTCCTTGCTGAGTTGATTTATACAAGTTCGTTTGGCATAGAAGGTGCTCAGGCTAGGTGTCCCCCACATGTTTTGGTGCCTGATGTATAGAATGAATGAATGAGTCAACGAAGGAATGAATGAATGAGTCAACGAAGGAATGAATGAATGAGTCAACGAAGGAATGAATGAATGAGATGGGGGTTGGATGAGAGGCTGGAAAAGGGAGTTTTTGCAGTTTCCTGTTGTCACACAGGTCTTTGTTGACAACTTAGCAACAAAAGAACGAGGAGCTCAGGTCCTTATGAGCATTGGAGGAAGAAGATCAAGGACTGGGTTCAGGAAGTCTCACCCTGACTCTCATTAACTTACAATTTGTGTGTGTGTGTGTGTGTGTGTGTGATGTGTGTGTGTGCGCATGCTAGTATTGGGACTTGAACTGAGTGTCTTTAACTTCCACACTTACTAATGTATTATTGAGGCACTGATTTTGATTGTCTGGACTCAGTTTCCTAACTAGTAAGAAGGTATGACTGAAGCAGGAAGGAAAGGGTTTTGAGAAGGCCTTGCCTTTCCCAGGTTTACAGGGGGCCTCCTGGCAGCCCAGAGAGAAGGGAAAGAGCTCGGGTTTTCCTCTGGCTGCATTGTGGTACCCCTGGGAGCCCTGGCTGCCACCAATCCATGACCTCACCATCTGTGTGGTTGAAACCAGAGAATCTCTTGTTAGGGGCTGAGCAGGAAGTTTTTTTTTTTTTCCTTTCCTGAGGAGGGAGCTTTTGTTCTCCAAGCCTTGATGAGGAGGCAGAGGAATTTCCAGCCAGATGATGTCAGCCCTGGGGAGGGGGGGAGCCCGGGGAACCTGCAGAGGGGCGGAGGGGGGGCTGCCCGTAGCAGTGCAGGATTTCAGGCACCAGGGGCCTGGGTCTCTTTCCCCTCTTTCCCATGACCCAGGTCAGCAGCCTGTCCATCTCAAGAGGAAAACCACAGAGAAGCTCATTTGCTTTTTAATTCTACCTGCTTCCTCACCTGACTCACCAAAATGACTTGAACCTTACCGGGACTCAGTTTCCCCATTTATAACATGAGACCAGAGTCCAGCTCCAGGGACCCTCACTTTACCACTACAGGGACTGACCAGGCTGTCCTTTTATTTTTATTTTTTATTTTTGCTAGTCCTCAGGCTTGAACTCAGGACCTGGGCACTGTCCCTGAGCTTCTTTAGCTCAAGGCTAGCACTCTACCACTCGAGCCACAGCTCTGCTTCTGGCTTTTTCGGTTTATATGGTACTGAGGAATCAAACCCAGGGCTTCATGCATGTTAGACAAGCACTCTACCACTAAGCCACATTCCTAGCCCGAGTCCTTTTATTTTATTTTTATTCTTTTTTTTTTTTTGCTGGTACTGGGGCTTGAACTCAGGGCTTCAGGATTTCATTCTCTCAGTTGGCTTTCTTTGCTCCAGTCTGGCTCTCTACTACCTGAGTCATACCTTTACTTCTGGTTTTTTGGCAGTTAATTGGAGATGAGTCTCATAGATTTTCTTGCCTGGGCTGGCTTTGAATCATGATCCTCAGATCTCAGCCTCCTGAATAGCTAGGATTACAGGTATGAGCCACAGGTGCCTGGGGCGGACCACCTTTACCAGTACACAAGCTTTCGAGACGGTTATGTGTCCTAGAGCAGCCTGTGTAACCAACAGAAATGTATTGTTTCTTGTCCTGGAAGTCAGAAGAATCTCCATTTGAGACTGTGAGAGAGGAGCTGTCCCAGGCTTCTGGCCTTAGTTTATATCTATCACATCCTCAGATCTCAGCCTCCTGAGTAGCTAAGATTACAGGCATGAGCCACCACCAGCCGCTGGCTAAGGATATCATCTGTGCATCTCTGTCTCAATGATCTCTCCTGTAAAAGCCCTGGCCACACTGGATGTGAACAACCCCCTAATGAACCTCATTTTAACTTGCTTGCCGCTGCCAAAGTACTAGATGCCACTTGTGTCAGGTTCCAAAGTGCTGGAAATAAAGTTTAGGGAGACACAATGATCAAGGGCCAGGTACAACTGAAAGGCAGCTTTAAGTCATTAGCATCAGGAGGGAAGATGAATTCAAGCAGAAGAGATAGTAGTATTGTCTTTAAAGCCCTAGAATTCCAGCCTGTTGTAGGTGGCTCATACCAGTAATCTCAGATGCTCAGGAGGCTGAGATTTGAGGATAGTGATTCGAAGCCAGCCTAAGAAGGAAAATCGGTGAGGCTCTTATCTCCAATTAACCACCAAAAAAACTGGAAGTGGAACTGTGGTTCAAATGGCAAAGCTCTAGCCTGAGTGAAAAAGCTAAAGAACAGTGTCCAGGCCCTGAGTTCAAGCCCCAATATGGGCACAAAAACAAATACAGCGTCAGATCCTAGTTAATGAAACCCTATTACCCATTTCCAATTTCACTTGCCAAAATCAAATGTGAAATCCATGAGAGCTCTGTAAATGAGACAGTTTGGGGTAGGGGGCACACTGGAGGGAGATTTTGGTTTGTGTACTTGCTGAATGACCTTGGACACAAGATCTCCTGTTCTAGGCTTCAGTCTCTTTGACTGTCAAGTGCATGTGTGCCCATGCATGTAGGTTTGAGAATGGTAGAGAGAGAGGGTCAGGCTGTTGTTCTGTATGCTGGGCCATGAGTTAAAACCAGTGGTCTCCCTTAAGACTTAGCATCACATGAAGGTGAGCAATCTAGGATAGCATTATAAATCTGTTAATTTATTTATTTATTTTTGTGCCAGTCCTGGGCCTTGAACTCAGGCCCAGGTACTGTCCCTGAGCTTTTTAGCTCAAAGCTAGCTCTCTACCACTTGAGCCACAACTCCACTTCTGGCTTTTTTTTTTCCTGGTTTATTGGAGAGAAAGAATCTCACTGACTTTCTCAGATGGGTTGGCTTTGAACTATAATCCTTACATCTCAGTCACCAACAGCCCCTGGCTTAGGATATCATTTTAAAAGCCCAGAGCACACAATACAGCTCAGGGTAGAGCACAATACCTTAGAGAAACTAGAGAAACACTGGGCTTGTTGAAGATACTCTGCATTCAAACTCGGCCCCACATCCCAGATCTTGCCTCTGTGCTGATAGGGATTCTGGGAATCCTAGAAAGCTAGGAAAGCTGGAGATGCTCTGGAATAGATCTTGATCTTGACATGCCAGGCTAGAGAACAGAGAAAACTAGGTTTGAATCCCCCCCTTCACACACACACACACACACACACACACACACACACACACACACACACACTTGAGAATTGCTCTTTCATTCATTGCTGCATTCGATGGCCCAACCAGGTGAGAAGTTGGCCTCCAATCAGAAGAGCCAGAAGACTTGTGGGTGTGGCAGCAGAGGAAGTGGAATGAACTACTGGAGGAAGCAGTCTCTGGAAGCAGCACTCCTGTGGAAAGAAATACTTTGCGGTTTCTCTATCTTCCAGTTCCTCTGATGGTCACGAAGACAGGAATTGGAAAGTGAGACCCTCTTTTTCCTCTTCCCCCACCACAGCAAGGCCTCTCAAGGTACACCCTGGCCTTTTCCTCTCTTCTCTACCTCCTGTATTTGGCTCCTGCCCCTGGTACCCACTTAACCTTGTTCACCACAAGGTCCTGATTCCACCTCTCACTT